TAATGTGTTGACCAGGCGTGTGTGTTGAGCCTTGTCAGTCGCCGCGTCCGGCTCATGAGCTTTATGTCGCCCTCGATCTGGCGATACAACCCACCTGGAGGTGTCGAAGCGGAGGGCAGCTCAAGACTGCTCGACTCCGTTCCTCAAGACGTGGAAGTGGTTTTTGGACCTCCGGTCTCCGTCACTAGAGAAGAACATGCATGGAACTTTCCAGACCCGCTAATCGTTACGTTTGGGGAGGTACTGCGGGTGAGGCCGTCTAGTTCAGACATGCTGACGGCCGTATCAAGTGCAAGTGTGGCAAACAGCCAACAATTCTGTCCCCCTTTGTTCTTCAAGGCCCGCTGTCCCAAAGCCATGCATCGTCACGGACAACTGCTTCAGTCTAGCTGACCTTAAAACGCTTGACCGACATTCACTCGCACACAGGTGTGTCCAACTAGTCGTGGTTTCTCAAGAGCCACTTGAACGCAACAGAAGGCGACATCCCTTTCGAACAATGCAAATCACCTGAACTCGCTTCACAGTCATGTAAAAGCAACTGCCATCACCTCATGTCTCACGACACAACTGGACTGGACGTAGTCAACACGAACCCTGGCTTCGCCAGTGCCCACTGCTGCCTGAGACGGCAGCAACTCGGGGTTCTGTGCACAATACGGCCCTTATCCTGGTGACTTCTGCCTTTTAACTACAACCTGGGATTCGACCCGATGATTGTAGTGCTCTGAGCACAAACACTGCTTGGACGCTCAACAATTAAGTACACCGTCTCTGTGCCCACCATGTTGTGGGACTCGCTGGATACCGTCGTTCACGGTGGTCGGACTATGAATGAATTACATGAAAGAATAGTCCCAGTCTGAACCGAGTTCCAAAGAAGGATCAAGCTAGCGTGTTAACCGGCAGCCCCGCAAATCATCTTTTTTGGCGCTGCATGCTTCACAAGGAATGCTGCAGCGTCTCTCTCCCTCCTCCATTCACCATTGATCCGCCGAGCGGGTTGGTAGAATAGAGATAAGGAGGAACGTAGTGACTGGGACTCTGGCACGGATCTCTGTAGGCCGCAGCAGCAAATCCGAAGACCCAGATCTATTCCCAGGCCTCGGAAGTCCGAGAACAATTTCAGTAGTTTGACGAAGTGTTCCGTGCCAGGTTTGTTTCGTTTGACATCTTTTTCGACGCATCTACGTTGGCAATGATTGCGGATCTAGAGTAGCAACTGTGGGATAGACCAATAACGTGCCGTAGCCACCTTAGGCGTATTTCATAGATGTGGCCTAAGATATCCTGACGACGGACTGCGGACTGTTTCATTTGGAACAAAAACGCTGCACTTCTGTAGACGGGGCTGGAGAAAGCGTTTAAATAGGTACAGTTTTGCTTGCTGCTTCGATACTGAAGATTTAAGCGAACCCCTCCGACCATTCTTTCAGAAAACGTGCATACAACGGGCAATTTTTCCAATAATGTGCACTTTGGTTTCGTAAAAAGTTCTACGATGGAATTTGCTCAATGTACGGACTTTAGAGATTCAGTATCTGGAATCGCCTAACAATTTCCCGTTCTGAAACCCCTGACTTATGTTACCAAACAAACATTTCATGTTGTGAGACTTTTCTAGATAAAATGCCCTTTGTCAGCCCTCTGCATTATCTTCCCATATGGCCTTATCATAACTAGGTTTCGCTGGATTCAGCCTTTTGGCTCTGTTTTCTTTTCTTTTTATAAATCTTTGTGCTTATCAGTAAGGAAGAGGAGGGCTTTTCTGTCGTCTGAACCATTCGTCTAAGCTTTCGAAATCGCACAGGAATCCATTGTTAGAGATAAGAGCGGTAACAGACTAAGCAACATTTGTAGGGGATAGGAACCAATAAAGCATAGGTAACGTTATTCTGAAGGTGACTGCGCAGGGCTCTGTATGTGGACAGCAAGTTGATACGTCGATTGATAATGTTCTCACCTTAGGCATCGGACAGGCTCCTATACACTTTTTTTATTTGTTTGTCCTTTTTTATCTCTGATAATGCATTCTTTTACGAATTCGAAAGCTCAGAGGAACAAAAAATGTTTCGGGTGATTCAGCAGGTTTCTTCTTCTTCCTTTTCTCTACTTATCTGAACATTCGCCTCCATTTTTAGGCTGCCTCCAAGTTCTACACGGTTCTGCTACTGCGTAAACAGGGAGCAGTCGAACTGGTCCAGGAGGGACCCTACGCCGACATTCGCCTCTTCCGAGGCCCAACTTTTGGTGGGGTGCCTTCCGAGGCCTAGTGAGAACCCGTACATCCCTCGCACACTCCCGCCCCGCCCCTCTGTCTTCGCCAGAGCCTTATGACACAGAACTTTCCTTTGTCTCATTTTTGTCTACCCACGTCTATATTCATTCTTTAAAATGTCCCCGAT